TACTAGGAGCAAGTGCATCGCTACTAGTAACAAGTGCCTTACTAGTACCTAGACCCATTGGTTCAGAGTAATTATTCTGCTGCATGCCTTTTATTAATAATTTGGTCTTTCTTGTTGAATTATTCTCCCAGGTCGGTTGTTATCGTTCTTGCATGGTCTTGCACGGATATTATCGTATTTCAGCCCTAGATGGTGTATTTCATGATTTTTTTTGCATTTTGATGCTCCTTCTTGAACATGCACCCGCCAAGAAATTACTTGTCAACAGTGGACCGCCAAGATATCATGTTGGTTCTTTCACGATGAGATTGCCACATCCAAACATGTGACCTTGTGCATGAAATGCCCAAACCTAAGACCACTGGATTGTGATCAAAAACTGCATCTTCATATCCTCCAATTAAGCCTCAAAAGGCCTCGAACGGATATTATCGCAGAAAGAGTAATTATTCTGCAGAAATTGAATTATTAATAATTGCCCTCAAGAAGAGTAGTTTCTCTTCAGAGGTAGGTCTAGGTAGTAACTTATCAGAGCAATGAACTTACGACTTACGACACCGGGTTGGGCACTTTCACCTCCCCAACACGTTGCACCTTTGACATGGGGTTGGAACAAAGCGGGCAGATTTGCAGCAACACCTCTTGCAAAGCATCAGCAGGAACCCCAATCTTCTTCTGCACCCACACATTTCAAGTGATAATGATGCCCTTGTTACTAGTAGTTTCTTGCTCCTAGTAGTAAGGCCAGGAGCCCCTAGTAGCTTCTTGTTACTACTAGTAAGGCACTTGTTACTAGAAGCGATGCCCTTGTTACTAGTAGTTTCTTGTTCCTAGTAGTAAGGCCAGGAGCCCCGTTCGTAGCGTCCGATCGCTCCGCTCATAGCGGAAAAGCGAACCGATGTTTCACTTCAGTTTCCGGCCGGTTTCGGCGTATGAAGTCAGCTGGGAGTTTTGGGAGAAGCCCTCAAGGTCAGCGTGCGTCAATTCCCGAACGGTGCCCTTAGCCCTTTCGCGCGATTTCACGTCTTCAAGCATCTGAGCAAACTTGGAGCCCCAAGGAAAAAGAAAGCTATAACTTTTTTTATTTTCTGCTATTGCTGCCCTTTCAAATCCTTACTTAATTATTCTATTACTACTAATACTGCTACTACTGCTACGAATACTACTAGGTTTTTGTGGCGGGGATTCTATTCTTGCTCCCTTGATTGTTTGCTAGGGGGACGAGTTTTACTATTTAAGGCCCAACATTAAACTTGCCAAACACCTCCATGTTACTAAAAGCACACGCAGTCTTCTCATACCTCACATCTTTTTTCGCATGCTTCTTCTGGGCGTTCGCGGTCTTCGCGCAATGTGAACCTCAGCATCGGGGCTCAATCGCCTTTGGAGCTCTTGGGAGAAACGGATCCTGCAACCTGTTCCTGATGTCTGGTCTTTGACTGTCCTGTCATTTCCCCATGGACCGCAACGCCAAAGCCTATAACTATAACTGTCAGACAATTGAAAGCCTCAAAATACATGTTAGACGGTATTACACGATAAGTTATACAAAGCAATCTGATGTAGTCCAACGTATTCCATGTCCGGGCCCGCTTCCGGAGGTCGAGTCACGTCCTCAACTCGGTGCTCCAGAACGAAGGAGTCGAGGTTCTCGTCCGACTTCTCCTGTCAAATGCTCACCTTGTGGAAACGTAGGCCTAAAAAACACAGAAAGGAAGAACGTAAAACACAAAAACTCGAAAAATAATCGCGTTGAATACATTAACTTGAACATGGCGGCCTTGGAGGGTGTCTGAGGCATTTCGCTCAAAAGAGGACTGCGAGGTGTCGGCGAGCATGAGGATGGAAGCTGCACGCCTTCCACTGGCTGTTGAGCCTGGGAAGTAATGGAAGCTTGTTCGATGACATGATCACAAAGGCGGCTATGAAACCGAAGCCACCAACAAAAACTATATATATAGGCCGCTTTTGAGGCTTCGAGCTATATCTTCTTGCAATCCTATCAAGCTCTTGCATTCCTACTATTCAATATTATTCATGACTTGCTACAGTGGCAAACATTGAAGGGGCCGGTGTGGGATCATTGGTCGGACGGCATGGGTCGGTTGGCCTGGGTGGTTATTTTGCAAGGAACAAAACACCGAATCCTGCGGAACAAAAACACGCACCACATTGTGGGCCCCACACTTCTGGATAAAATGTCGTACCATATTGGTACATTATGGCATTATGGTACATTAGGTTGGAGGCAACGAAACAAGAAAAGGAAGAAAGGTCTAGGACGCTAGATTCTGTATCCGTGCAACATACACACGCGCGTATCAGCGTGCTCACATGGCCTCGACCTCCTGAAAGTCCATCCAATCTTCTTGAGCTCTTCTTCCTGCTTGTCCATGTGATTTGCTACAAAGTAGCGTCCTAGCTCCTAGTAGTAAGGCCAGGAGCCCCTAGTAGCTTCGTCCTGCTTGTCAATGTGATTTGCAAGTTCAAGATCTTCGGCGTCGGCCCGCATCTCCCGCCTCCACATGGCGATGCACTCTCTGCAAAGCTCAAGTCCTTAGCTTGACATGCAGAGACATGCATGCATTCTGACAGCCTGTCATTTGGTAAGATGTTGCCTGAACCTTGAAGTCTGGTGAAAACTCTGGATCATCCAGTCAAGGCTCCGCCAGCTTCTCAAAAGGTTTCCTGCCACGAGGAATCGAGTTGGCATCACTTTCTGTCACCAATGGATTTGATACGGCTTTTCAAGCGTTCTTGATAAAAACTGTGACTTCTTACAACGCACAACGTCTGACTTGCAGATTCCTGGAAGCAGCAGCTTGTGCACGAGCGCACTGTCGCTCAAGGGCAGTGCACCGCTGCTGAAGCTCGCTCAGCTCCCACTCAACCTGACAAAGTGGAATTTCTCAACGAACAAAAATGAGCAAATGCAAATGCACTCAACTTGCAACTGCATTTTGGTCATTGGTAGTCTCTGCATGTTGCGTTGTACATGTTCTCAAGTCAAAGAAGGATTGGGATGCACATATGGCTGTGCTGTGCAAACCAGATTACTGGCCGACTCCCAATCCGTACATGTTCCCACCTCGCTGTCTGTGGTGTCCACCAGCTCCTCAATCGAGTGAACGGACATATACAACATACAACATATTTCTCATAGTACCCAACTATACCCTCTCCTCAGGGCACTGTGCCCTACTATCTCCTACTTGTCCTTAGCATTTCGCAAAGGAACGCCAGCATCGGTGTCAGGTGCATCGATTGTCTTGCGAGCCTCGACCTCATTGTCGAGGATACGAAGCTCTGCAGAGAGCCTGAGAAACAAAAGAGGAGAAACAAACAGAAACCTTTTTTTTCTTCTGTGAGTCTTTCTTTTCTTCTTTCTTTTTCCTCTTTAGACCGTTCTTGTGTTGTTTGTTCCCCATCTTTCCGCTTTCTTTCTTTTGGCCTTTCAACCTTTTCCTTCTTTGTCTTGCTGTCTATTGTTTCTCTATCGGTTATTGCCCAAGTGGCTGAGAATTCTCACGGTGGGCTTGGCTACATAAATCTCGCAGTGCATGGCCTTCTTGGAGCCTGGACAGCTTTGGATAGCAGGACGCTCCTGGCATCGCTACTAGTAGCAATGTTCGCTACTAGGAACAAGTGCATCGCTTCTAGTAACAAGTGCCTTACTACTAGGAGCAAAGGGCATCGCTACTAGGACGCTACTAGGGGCACCTGGACAGCTTTTGCACGCAGGACGCTCCTAGTGGACGCAGGACGACGCTGGCAGATTTTTAGGGAAACACTGGTTCCATGCCTGGCAGCTACCCCTCCTCACGCTAAGCCTAGCTAAGCCCATTAGATCCCAGCCTTTGCGCCAATTCCGCAGCTGCTTCATCTCGCTGCAGCAAGGCTTCTTGGTGCCGCTGCTGCACAAGCAAATGGGCAGACTTCAAAGCTGTGACCTCGGGCTGGCAACTCTGTCCTCTCTAAAAAGGACACAAAACAAAAGAAAAGTCTGAAGACCACTATCTGAAAATAGGAGCAAGTAAAGAAAGACACGAGAAGAGACAAACAAAGGTCTAAAGGCAAAAGAGAAAGACTCACAAAAACAAACTGAAAGAATGCAAACAACAAAGCAGCCAGTCACTGCACCACTCTTGGCTTTTGAAGTGACCACGTTTCCACTGTTTCCGCACCTCCTTGCCGAGTTCATCAGCGATTTGGGAGCTCTCTCCTTCCTGAAAAACACATACACGCGATTATGATTACACGTGAGCTTGATTCGAACGTGTCAAACGCGAGCGTCCTTAGCTGCTGCCATTCTTTGTAGCGCAGCCTCTGCCTCCTCTCGAAAGGATTGATGCTCCTGCACTCTTGGTTTGACAAAGATTCAACTCTCCAGAAGAGAAATGAAACAAGTTGACAGTTTGTATGATCAACCTTTCCCTTTGTCTAGCAAACCTCTGATGTTTTCCAACGCTGCGGTGTCCTCGGAATGGAGCTTCTTCAAATGGAGCTTTTCCCTTGAGCACCTGCAAAAATTGGAAACAATTCAGCGATGTATGTGCAGCTGTGTTTCAACTTCCTTTAAACTCTTCGAAACAAGCTTTCTACATCCGTGGTAAAGTGCATAGCTAGTCGCCGCTGGGCCTGTCTTTGAGCTGATCCAAGTCTTGTCTTCGCTGCTGGCAGCTTCGCTGTGCAGAGCACAGCCGGTTTCGCACATCCTCGGACTCTCGAGACCAAAACATCACGTGCGATGTGCAACTTCCCTCACTCGTACTGTGCTTATTACTTCCATCTTACATCTTCTCTGAGATTTAACCTGCTAGAGCTAGAATGAGCTAGACAGCTTGGCAAGAAGTGGGTGAGGGAAGAAAAACTTGAATAGCAATGAAGTACTCCAACCTGCACTTGCACGGAGAGTTCTGAGAGCTCTGATGCCACCAGGGCCTCTTCTCTTTTCAGTTCCCCTGTCAGAATCTGCATAAATACATGATCGGTTCCATCATCTTAACATGATCTTTCTATATAGTTCCACAATGATTCCATCATTCCATCATGATTCCCAGCAATTTCAACGATGTCCCAACACCAAAGAAGGCCAGCCAAAGCTCTTACCTCTTCTTTCTTGCAATGCTTGAAGCTGTGGAGCATGCGATGCACTGGCATCAGCATGGGTATCTTGCAAGCCTTGAATGCTGAAGTTCACGACCCATGACAAGCTAGGACAGTTTCTGACAACTGCTAGCTCTTCTGATTGAATTCTTTCATTTCCCTCTAGAATGTTCTACAGATTTTCAGTCGCCAGTGGATTCATTAGTCATGGAGCTATGTTTCTGTCCGTGATGCATCCAATTGCAAGACATTCCAAGTATATCAAAGGAGGAGGAGGCGGGAGAAGAGCTCAATGGAGGCCATCGCTATTCGGTTGAAGGCCATTGCAATTGTTTTTGAGGTCCCTGGGAACCAATCTTTCTATTCTCAGGGAACGATGTAATCGAGTGGCGTCGCAGCTCTCGCTGAGCTGCATTGGAGGCGTCAGCCGCCTTTCTGGTCCGCTGCGTTGCACGTTGGATGCTGCGCTGCAAGCGTTCACAAAGAACTTCTCGGTCCAATAAGGTCTCCTAACGAGAAAAGGCGGAATGGGAAAACACTGCAAAGAATGACTGTATAAAATAGACAAGCAAAATCAAGCAAGTATATATAAATACTCTTTATACCACTACCTTGGAAGGTGACTCAATCGACAAGCCCATGCAAGTGTCAGTCCTTGGCTTCAAGCAGCACTTGTTCACTCTCTTCCAGCTGCAGTTGAAACCTGTAGCTGGCTTCGTCTGCACAACGGAAATCAACAGAGTATGACCTGCAAGGTAATTCCCGAAGAGGAATCCCCCGTATAGAAAGCTGCAAACAAGGCACAACGATGCTGCTTCGAGCAAACTCTTCAAGTAATTGGCCTGAGCCACATGTCTCTTCTATAGCAACAAGGGCATCGCTACTAGGAGCAAGGATGCTACTAGTAAGGCCAGGAGGGCCCCTAGTAGCGTCCTTGCTCCTAGTAGCGACGCCCGGGTTCCCAGTAGCGATGCCCTTGTTACTAGTAGCTTCTTCTTCCAAAAGTATTCATGTTTGTTTCTTTGCGCAGATTTCCACATGCACCACTTCAGTCTTCTAGCGCCTCCACTTTGCTCAGTGATTCCCAAAAGCTTTGCTGTCCTGCAAGCTTCTGGACAGACATAGCACAAACTGGAACAGGTTTCATTGATGATCCCTATCCTGACATCAGTCGTGCTTGGCTACATCCAAGAGCTTTTCCAAGCACTTGGAAGCCATTGCTCGAGTCTAGGTGTATTGGTAGGTCTTGTTTTGCTAAGAACTATAATATGGTTTGTCTCCGATGAGGCAAACAAATACTGTACAGTCTGCTTGTCTTGCTTCAATACTGGTTGGAAAATATTCTCGCTCCAAGAACGTTCTTGTTACTGCATTTTACTCAGCGTAGGGTAGTGATGTCATGTCCACGAGTAGGAAGGGGCCAAACGGCTAAATGCGGATTGAAAATGGTTCAAATCTTCCAGCTTCAGGACGTGATACCACGGAGATTCGACTTATTTTCTTTTCTTCGGACGGCAAATTAGACTTGTTCAATGACTTGAGAGAGGAGGGGGTGAACGAAAGGTAGCAGGCAATCACAAGCAACCCTGGTAAAAGTCCATGACGGCGTGAACCGGCGGAGGGGGGATTTGATCCAGGGGGGGGGGGCCCCCCCCCCGACGAACAGAATCAACTCTTACAGGACCAAACTCAATGCACAATCCCAACTCCGGATTGTAATACTTTTTTGCTAAAGCAAGGAGAACTCAGGTAGCTCAAGCTACCTTTCGTGATCTGATATCTCAGCACTCGTTTTTTGCACGGCACATGATCCTGCGATCGAGCTCGGGTGTGGTTGGGCCTCGCGGTTTGAAAAATGAAGAGAAGGAAGGGAATGAATCGGGAATGAATGCGTGGATTTGCAACATCCTACGACCTACTACTTAGCTGTAGGACTTGATTGATCCTAACAAGAAGGCCAAAGAAAACCCATTTGCTACCAGTTGCTATGATATTCATGTCAATTCATGCGTTGTGGTTGAATTGCACTGATTCCTGATGAGTTTCGACGTGGGCTTCCGGCCAAGGCCAGTGTTTCTTCAGTCCATGGGCAAAGCAGTACGTCTCGACAATGCTCTCACGAAGAAGTCCATGCCAGTTCTGCGCGCTGAGCAGTCTTTGGAAGCCAAAAGCACTCACCGTCAGTGCGCATAAACATGACAAATATATCAACATAATGTGCAAAGAATGGTCCAAGCTACTGTTTCACACAATGGTTCTTGTTGGTTGGTGAAGAAAAGTGAGTTGTTCATACATTTTCAGCGCGTCTGCCCGCACCTCACTGCACGAGTGGCTACCCATTCCGCAGCAGTGTTCTTGGTCGCCTCAAATACCAGACCAATGCCAACAAACATGCAAGTGTGTCAGTTTGGATGGTTTTGACGTTTTGCCTAACAGACAACTAAGCAAAATTGATACGTCGGCTTGCACAAAGACTGCATAGATTAAAGACAGTCCGCTTGCAATGGTGACCAAATCATGCCATCGCTAGTAGGTTGGAGGCCATTGCTAATAGGTTGGAGGCCATGGCTATTAGTTAATCAATATATAAATATATATATATACAGTAGTTACTGCATTTCTACTTTTTTGCATGTAAAAACACAATGTATCTTATGTCATCTTATGTCCAAGACCTCCGCACCACGCTTCAGCGTCACCCGCATCGCTGCGGAAGCTTTTTGCCTCGCCTTGCGACAAACTATCAACATCCCCGAACTGCCAAAGCAGAGTGACCCGCCAAAGCACCCCTTGGAATGATCTATGTTATCCTTCTCAAGCCATTTGCAAGGGAATATTCATGGTATCCAAGATTTCTGGAAAGCAAAGGAAAGTTGAGGTCCTGGGCAGTTCCGGCAAAAAGAAAAAGACTCAAGAAAGCACGTTGCAAAGCTCTGCCGAAGTATGCTAAGTAAGGAAAGGACAAACATTTACCCAATAAATTCGGAGCTTCCTATACACATGGATACACACTAAATCTCACACCTGCAACTACAAGTCAGCCTTTTACCTTTCTATACTTACGAAAGGGATGTTCTACCAGGGTGGATGCGGGTAAGGACTGAGAGCATGAGCATATCATGTGTATGTTTGGATACCCCCACAAACAATGCCTTTCCCAAATAAAACATAACACACATTATGTCACTCTGATGGAGACCGTGAACATAGACCGGGTCACAACTACTGCTTGTGGCGAACACCCAGTCCTTGCTACTCCACGGCCAAAAAGATACAAAGGCTACAACATCTTAAGGTTTGTTTCTGCGTCCAGTAGCTAACTTAGCCCTCAATTACTTGATTAAGTAGGCGCCTACTTAGTTAGGTAGTAGGGCGGCAGAGCGGGCTGAGCAACCAAAGGAAACGTGTTCCGCTTGTGTGAGGCCTGGGAGCTCATGTGAGGGAAGAGGAAGATCACTCGATAGTCTGACTCCAAGTGCTCTCGCTTCTCTTGCCATAATGCAGTGAAGGACTGACAAAACCTCCAGCAAAATGCGAAGAAGATTGAACAAGTAACAAATGTGTTCTATCTACTGCAAACTTTGCAAACTTTATCCCTTGCTACTGCAATTGGCCACTCAATGAACATTGCATTTGGAGGCTAGGCTCAGCGCATGTAGCCTGGCAAGTCCAAAGCTTCGATTCAAAGTCACGTCACCGAGGCTGCCATTGAGTTTGCTTAGCTTGAACAAAGAGCAATCGTGCAATGCCCCCGACTCCGAGGGCTACACCTGCAACGCACCCCGCAGAGACAGCCAAAGGTACCAACGTGTCCACTGATAGCCGCCTTCATCCGGAAAATTCATCAATTCAATGCTTTTAGAGGGAACATCGAAGCTGCAAGACAATGGGAAAAAAGTCCTTATAGGCTAGTACCCTTGGAGGCCATCCCTAGTAGGTTGGAGGCCATCGCTATTAAGTTGGAGGCCATGGCTAGTAGGATGGAGGCCATCACTATTAGGCTGGAGGCCATTGCTAGTAGGATGGAGGCCATCGCTCATATGCTGGAGGCCATCTCCATTAGGCTGGAGGCCATCGCTATTAGGCTGGAGGCTGGAGGCCATCGCTATTAGGCTGGAGGCCATCGCTATTAGGCTGGAGGCCATTGCTAGGCCATTAGGCTGGAGGCCATTGCTATAAGGATGGAGGCCATTGCTAGTAGGCTGGAGGCCGTTGCTATTAGGATGGAGCCCATTGCTAGTAGGATGGAGGCCATCGCCATTAGCTGGAGGCCATTGCTATTAGGATGGAGGCCATTGCTATTAGGCTGGAGATCATTGCTAATAGGATGGAGGCCATTGCTATTGGGCTGGAGGCCTTTACCGTCAGGCTGGAGGCCATCGCTATTAGGCTGGAGGCCATCGCTATTAGGCTGGAGGCCATCGCTATTAGGCTGGAGGCCATCGCTAGTAGGATGGAGGCCATCGCTATTAGGCTGGAGGCCATTGCTATTAGGCCGGACGCCATCGCCATTAGGTTCGAGGCCATCGCTATTAGGCTGGAGGCCATCGCTATTTGGCTGGAGGCCATCGCCTGGCGGGAGGCCATCGGAGGCTGGAGGCCATCGCTATTAGGGCTGGAGGCCATCGCCAGTAGGTTCGAGGCCATTGCTATTAGGCTGGAGGCCATCCTTTGTAGGATTATAGGAAGTATGAGTGCCGCACCCGAAGGACTGCGGCTGGACAAGGGTGTAAAGCACCAAGGGCAGCAAAGCGCCGGCAATGGCACCAAACCTTTGCACTTCAAAGGGCAAAATGAATGATTCAGCTGGCAAATTTGTTGATATGGATAAATGCATTGTCGAGAAACTTCCGAGTTACGCACAGGATAAGTATTGAATTATATTGTATGCGTACCAAAGAAAAAGGATGCACGAATGAATTGCTATTTTGTTGTTTCAGACTTTGGGCATCACACATTTGACAACACAATATAGTAGAGATCTACCCAAACCATATCGACACATGACACGGTATCTCAACACATCATCACCTCCATCTGCCGGGGAATACCTGGTATAGGAGTCACATGCATAATGCTTCTTTCAAAAGGCAAACAATCACAAATATCATTTGATGGTATTTGATGATTATTGTTTGTTGATGCTGTCTGTTTTTTTGTTCATGGTGTTCCTACTTCCTTCATGTTCGGAATCGGAGGGGGACCGGGAACGAACGATTCCCGCGGTGGCTGAGGCGTCCACTGTCTGAGCCAAAGGACCATGCCTCACCGGATTTCATTGCACTGAGCCCCAAGGTCCAAAGGATTGTGCAAAAAAGCAAAGATCGGAAGAATTGTCCAAAAATGTCTAAAGGATTCTAAGGGTCTGCAAAACCAAACACAAACAAGTCTTAGAACAAGTGAAAAACACAGACCCACTACTTTGGTCAGTGTGATATGTTAGCCTCAGATTCTGGACGTGATGTTTTGATGCCTTTTCCTTGTGTCTTTCCTGTTGTCCTTGTCTTCTCTTTATTTGTGCCGTTCTATATGTTCTATACAATAAGCTTCTAGTAACAGGTGCATCGCTAGTAGTAACAGGTGCCTTACTAGTAGTAACAAGAAGCTAGTAGAAACAATATATAAAGTTATGTGCTGAAGACCTTTCCTTCCTGTCTTCTTTTCTTCGCCCGAAATGTCGTACCCAATTCCTGCCAAGCTGCAGCACCACCATGGCGTTGGCGAAACCTCTCTCCTGGCTCATGGGAAAATACAATGGCTTTACAACATTTTACAACTATCAGTTTGCAATTTCTAGTCCCTGTTTAGGCCTTACCGGTACTTAGGTCTTGTATCCGAGTCAAATGCCAAGCAACTCCACTCTTGGGGCAACTGGGGTAATCCAACATCAGTCGCAATAAGCAGGTTCCTCCGTGGCAGTTCCTAGGCCCCATGCAAACATGCGCAAGCAGTCAGTATTTGATGAAACAGGGCTGATTTGCAGGAAAGCCATGGTCCGCGGCTGTTGAACCACCGCCTCAGCAGAGATCACAGCAGCTCTTCAGCACAGCCTTCGATATCGTTTCAAGGTTCAATGCTGCACGTTGTGCAGTTCATCTAGGTTCCGAACGAATGCTCCCATCAGCAGCAAAGTGATGCCACCAATGAAGGCCTCACAAATGACCGTGGGATGATATTCCAGAGGTCTGCTCACCCTTAGGTTTTGCAAGCACTTTCCACCATCGAACACACTGAAACATTCCTTGCTATTTACCGGCTCTTACACACATCTTTAAAGCTACTAGGAACAACGATGCTACTAGGGGAGCAAGAAGCTACTAGGGGCTCCTGGCCTGGACGCTACTAGGAACAACACACTCACGTCGTTTTGATTTGATTTACCGGCTCTGCCCCTTCGGTTTTCGAGGCGAAGGTTCAGCCTTTCGAGCGCCCAGGAGGCGGAGAAGGACGGACCTTCCTTGGCCCGAAGCGAAGAATGCGGAAGCTTCGAAGAGATGCGACGGAGGTTTTTGAGAAAAACAGAAAGGCGTAGGTGCCAAACGCTGCAGCAGAACCAAAGCTCGCGCCTCTGGCAATTCAAGAAACACAAGTAGCACAGCAGCAGTAATAACCTGTAATGACTATTGACTAATATTCTTCTACTGAAGAAACTGACTGTTGCCATCTTTCACCTGTGCTTGCGCTGCTACAAGTCCAACAGCAAAGGCAAGGGTGCGGTACTCCACGAGCCTCCAAAATGCTCAACAGATCTGAACAGTCAAGCTGGCAAGAATCCGTTTTGTTTTAGCCCGCTCCTACTTGACTGGGAGTAAGCTCCTAGCTACGTGGAAGCTACATGACACTACTAGTAACCGGACGCAGGATAGCTCACGCTTCTTCAAGGAAGCTCCCCCTGCCTAAATGTATTAGGGAGATCAAGAATCAGCTTGAATCGAGATTTCTCCAAGTACCCGGCGTCGCTTGTGTGCTGGTGATTGGCGGCCCAAGCAGCCGCAATGCGTGTAGGCCGCAAACACGTCCCATGATCTCCTTTCCAAACTGTGGCTTCAATCCAAAGCTCTTCTTTTGGCGAACGGCAAAGAGACAATCTGCGAATGTCAAGTGCCTCTAAAACAAAGTCAATCAGAAGCCCAATCCACAGCCATTCTCGCCAGCGCGTCACCTGTTCGCGACCTGGGTGGAAACTTTACAAGGTTATCTCAAGATTATCTTGAGGCTTGCTTGACCTTAGCAGCTTATTCTATGTGTGATCAATTTTGAGACTCTAGGAACGCAGTGAAATCTAAACAAAGAAGAAGAAGCAAACTCTTCGCCTCCTAGTTTCAATGAGGTACCCTATCCAGACCCCGTCTGACCCTGTCTTCATCAAAGTCTTTTGCTCTTATACCTCAGGATCTGACAAGCAGCAAAGCGTGGTATAGGCTGCTGGTCCAGTGCAGCATCGTCACTCAAATCTCCCGCCCAACGCAAGTAGCCGCTGGCCTTGCCAGGAAGGCCCCAACAATTCTACACGTTTAAGGACAAAAAACATGGTCTAAATGAGTCTAAATGCTGAAGAACATAAAAGAAATGAACGAACAGGAGAAGAGAAGTGTCATGTCCTTACAGTGGGTCCCCTGCCAAGTTGAACACTCCGAGCAGGGCAAAGAATGGAGCCTGCGCGCTGTTTCGTTCATTGTAACAATGTAATTGTGATCTTCACGTATCTTCCTGTTCATACAAATCATCGCTACTAGGGGCTCCTGGCCTTACTACTAGGAGCAAGAAGCTACTAGGGGCTCCTGGCCTTACTACTAGGAACAAGGACGCTACTAGGGGCTCCTAGCATCGCTACGAATGGAGGCATCGTAGCGCCTCATGTGCTCCTTGAAGCACACTGCGCGTGGCCAGGCACACTGAGATGGCCGGGATCAATGTGTACAGCACAAAGACCAAAGTGGCCTAAGTAAGACAAGACCAGAGGGAGCATGGAATACGCTCATGGCTGTGGGCCGTGTGTATGCTGACAACTCTTGCTCTGAGTTCTGCTACTGGTATACTTAGAAAGTTCTCCAAGTTCTGCTGAACCTCAGGGATTTGGCTTGTGAGCAAAAACAAATTGAATAACATTGTCAAAAGAAGCACCAGCATCTAAAGAGCCCGACCCAGATTACTGCTAGCACACCTAAAACCTGGCCAGGCCAACAGCTTCAAGCTACGTTCCCTAGTGCTCAATTTCAACACACCTGCATGATCAAGAGCACACCAACAAGTGCCGCCAAAGGCAACTCCTGAGGCTCGAAACTGTTGCACAAGGACGCTACTAGGAGCAAAGGGCATCGCTACTAGGGGCTCCTGGCCCTGCTAGGAACAAGGACGCTACTAGAAGCAACTCCTGAAATGGCTCGAAACTGCTGCACTTCATTTTTCGATGTTTCGAGATGTTCGAATGAGTCTCCCACCATGCGTTGCGCCATGAGGGGATAAACTTTGTTGAATACGAAGCGTGCCGCAGACACAAAGATGGGCAAAAGCCTACAGTGTGCGGGAGACTACAAGAAGCCATGAACTCATCCAACCATTAAGCAACATATGTTCCTAGTAGCTTCTTGTTACTACTAGTAAGGCACTTGTTACACCATTAAGCAACATATATTTAAAAACACCTTTAAAAGTCTCAGCTCTCACTCCCAGTAGATTTAAGGCCTCGACCACAAGGCAAGCAAACCGATGACCACAGAAGGCCTCTCATCCATTGACAAAGGTCGGAACACCACCTGGGATGGATCAGGTGTCGAAGCTGTGACGAAGAAGCGCAGCCCTGAGGACAGAACAAGGGACACTTGGACGGGAGAAGTCGCATCAGCCACCAAGGTGTCATCTGTTGAGCAATCGACGAGTGCAAAGCTTCTTTGCACATGCAAATCTCGACGCTTCCCCTCCCAGTAGGAGCAAGGACGCTACGAACGGGGCTCCTGGCATCGCTACTAGGAGCAAGGACGCTACTGGGGGCAATCCAGACATCTGACCTGTTTCGCTGCTCAGGGCTGCTGCACTCTCGGTAGATGCATCCTGCCCAAAGGCACTGGTCTGATACTGGGCATCAATATGATGACTGTGCTATTTCTTCTGCTCGTTCTTCTCTACCTCACTCTGACAGTGCTAGATCATTCGAATCAGCATCTGCCTTTGTATTGCTTGCCAACAGCCGGCCAGCAACTTCCAGAAGGCCTACAACCTGCGGCTCAAGGCAGGGAAGTGTTGAAGCACAAGTAAGCACAAGTAGGCTTTCAAATGCTCGGAAATGCTGACTAGAACATGTGACACCAAAGTTGCCAATTAAATGTCAGCTCTGAGTGCATTCAGTCCATCTTCCTTCCCTTCGGCCTGTCCCGCTGTTTTAAAGCCTGTAGCACGGACGAACGTCTCCTGGGGCAATTACAGCTGAAACACTTTGAGTTGCAATGTGTCTTCAGTTGGGCCAACCACTAATATCATATATAGTATATCGCTAGACACTACACTCAATTGTTCCGCTGCAAGTTCTGCTCAACATGTCTCAAATGTTTGAGTAGAAAGCTGGAAGGCGCAGCATTGCATACTGCATGTTGCATGGACGGCATCCTGTCCTTTGCGAGAGCTCGGGAGACAAGGAGCGCCACTCTGCGGCTTGAGACAACGTCCTGCAAACAAGACTGCGCCATGCTACTAGAAACAAGAATGCATCGATTTGTGTTTGTCCTTTCTTTATGTGTTCTTTAGACCTTTAGACTAGCTTTAGACCATTATTTTCTTTTATTACTTAAAATATATCATATCATCATATCATATCTGTCTCTTTTCACTGCTCCTTAATGTTCCATGCTCTTTCAGCGTTCATTCCGCTCACCATTTCAAACTATCAAGCCACCAAGAGCCACCGAAGCAACAGCGCCAGCTCCTCTAGTCCAGCGGCCGAGCCAGGATTGCCAACAGCGTTGGGCTTTACGAAACCTGACGGGGGGGCCCTAGTAGCGTCCTTGCTCCTAGTAGCGATGCCCTTTGCTCCTAGTAGCGTCCTTGCTCCTAATTAGTAGTAAGGCCAGGAGCCCCTAGTTCTTGCTCCTAGTAGCGATGCCAGGACCCTAGTAGGCTGAGCCAACTGATTCCGCTCGAGCAAATGTTCCATTGTGCACAGGGGTGCTGAGTAGCTCGGAGCAAGCCAAGCAAGCGCCACACTTTCTGCCCGAACCCAGCGCACAACCAAAAGAGTAAGAATATGTAAGAATCTTACTGATCCTACTGAGGAGCGCCCTTGCGCTTGCGGCTCACGTCGGGCTCCTCACGCAACTCTCCAGGACGCCAGGTCAAATTGAACCAAGACTCATCAGGACCATAGAGCCGCAAGAGCATAAACCAGGTCTTCTCCGGTATGGTCTGGATCCAATTGCTCTCTTTTCCTTCTGGTGCACTTGGCGAAAACCAAAGAGTGATGGAACCATCGGCATTCGACTTGATGTCTGGGTGTCGAACTGAATTCCTGCCTGGAGACATCTGTTCAGTCTGCAACATGGACCTATGCTGGGCATCGTAAACCACAACTGACCAGAAATCTCTTGCAGGCACATTGGGTGGCAAGGTCAATGAGTAGCACTTGCCTCCATCCAAATATCGGTGTTTCTCGTCGCGAGAAATTATTGCGTACTGAGAGCCCACACCTACCATCTTGAGAACCATCGCAGGAGTATTAAGAGTAGCTAAATAGAAGAATCTGGTCCTGGCATCCAAATTTCTGGCACCCTGGTCCAGCCATCTATGGTCACCACCCTCGAAAAGTGATTGCCACTCACTGTCCTCACCATACATCTTGCAAGCTGAACGTGGGGCAAAGCAAATCGCGCGGGCAGTGGCATTGCCAATGGCAACACCTTCTGTCAAAAGCCTCGTCATCCGCTCATCCGGTTTGAAGGGCTGTCCTCTCTTGATCCCGATGGCCGCCAGGTTCCCACGCAGCTCTGGGTCAAGGAACTCAATGGGTTCCCTTTGGATGACGTCATTAACCTCTTTGAAGAAGTTGAAATCATTGGAATGGATCGTATTCATCACTTTTCCCGACACGTTCAAGAATTCCATCTTTGGTTGGTTTCCAGCGCGCGACAAGGGATAGATTTTGAGACCCGCTTTCCACATCGCAGCAGCATGATCCGGAAGTCCGTCCTTCAAGAAACCTCGGTTCACAATGAAGTTCGTGTAGGTCGGCGAATGGAAAACATAATACCCGTCTGGCACTTTGCCATCGTAGCCGGGTGGGACAATCAAATATTTTCCTCCAGCTCCTCAGGTCGCGCAAGAAACATAAACCAAGGAACCGAAAGGAACCGATTTGAAACACCAAATTGACATGGGCGTACACTGATTACAGTGTCCATTTCTTCGCAAAATCCGTGCTTTCCGGATTCACCATATCAAAATGTGCAGGCAATTTTGAGTAAGGAGCAAGGACGCTACTAGGGGCGCTCCTGGCCTTACTAGGAACAAGGATACGAACGTAACAAAGGGCATCGCTACGAACGGAGCGATCGGACGCCACTAAACGTCCGGTCGTAGCGATGCCCGTTGTTCCGTTCGTGTCGCCCTTTTGAGCGTCTCTCGGAGTCACCAAACATGGTTTCCAAGAGACCATTCTATCGCCTTCGCTTCTGCCGAAACTGCATCGTTGTTCTACGCTACAAGAGGCCAGTTTTCCACTTTCCTTCGTCCTTCCATTTGCTTTTGGCAGGGAAAAATGGTTTAGGTTCGTTACATATGATTGCTTTCCTTTTTGTCAACCTCTTTGGGGGAATTGGGAACTGCATGCGTTCACTCCCCACAACGTGCCCTCAGAGTGTTCTGTTGAATTCCCGGCTGCTTGAATTAAGCGAAGCGAGGTGCAGTGTTAGAACTTGGAACTGTTACTCAATGACGTCTGGTGATCGTAATCCAATTGGCAAGAAAAAAAACAAGAACGACAACAACAACAACAACAACAACAACAGCAGCAGCAGCAACAACCACAAACAAAAACATGACAATCCAGGGTCCAACGGGTCAGAACATGTCGCCATGTCCGGAATCAAACGGAATGAAACGAAGCCATATCCCTGTCCTTTGTCTGGTCCAGGCTTTCCCATATCTGCAACGAAGCGGAAGTACGCGTCATTCACGGTTCCCGGGCCGGCACCACCTGGCACTTCAATCACCGTTGGGCCATCTGTGCCCAGATTCAGGATTGATGCCACGTAGACGGTATCTGTGTTTCCCGTGAGAAAGAGCGACTTGCTGTCCATGAGCTTTTCAAATAGGATCACCTTGTGACAAGCATCACAACCGACCTCCACAAAGCCAACTCGCATAGCCTCAATGGAGGCCATAGGTATCATGTCTAGAAAAGCATGCATTGCCCGTGATCGGTCCAAATTGTCATAGACCTTCTGGATCGTCTCATCGTCCGGGAGACCATCGTGAAACTTCAGCTTCCCAAGGCTTGTGTCATACTCATCTTTTGTGATGATGCCTTCTGGAACCTTTCCAAACGCCATGGCTAGGCGGCTAGGCTCCAGGGTCAAGAAAATACAAGTTGAGCCAAACTAGGCCTCGAGTGATCTATCAAAATAAATCATTTCAATAAATCTATCAAATAGAAATGATTGTTGTCCAGAAAAGCCCATGGCATGGCACTGAGGGCGCCTTGCTGAGAGCTTGCACTCCCACTTCCAGAAGGAACCTTGCTGAGAGGATGTTGCACTACTGACCGGTCAATCACCTTGAATAGCTGGTCTCTTTGGCCTACCGGTTGGAGGCCATCGCTAGAAAAGTACCTCTTGATTTTTTGTGACCTGCAGTCATCTGCAGTCGTAAGACGTGAGCACTGGATCCTAGCAAAACTGAGACTAGAGACGGCTGGCACTGCGGGACTGCCACCACCCGCTGGCACCAGGCATGTGAGGATCAGCGCTTGCCTTGCTTTCCCAAAAGAGCTCACATTTAACTGAGCACCCACAGCTTCATGCAAAAGCCATCCAAGAAAAGGGATGCCAAAGTGACAGGATGCTTCAGCTTCGGCTCTTTCTGCAGCGGCAGCAAACTGTATATGGAACAAACCAACCCGGCTAAGAATTAACAGAAGGAAGAAAGAATCAGGGCTCCACGGATTCCAATGCCCCAAATCGGTATGCTTGCGATTCTGTATATTGACATGATCGGTCCAAGATGATACGTTGACTACCCTTTGCTACTTGAAGTACGGCCTTTGCTATCCGAAAACGGCGGCACCGCCCGAGTGCATCCAAGCTTCGTTTCAGGGCTGCGGGTGTCGTGGCCATAGAGATGGGCCACCAAGGCGCAGCGCCGAATGTTTCGCCAAAGCCTCGACATGAAACGATTACGTAGTAGGCATAGTGACTCTATAAATATACTTATATATTATGTGTTTAGGCATCTTGAGAGCAAAGAAAAAACATCGCAGATTGGCAGGATGCATGGGCAGATTGGCGAAATGTCAAAGTGTGTAGCCTACTGCCTGCAGGGCCTGCAGCAGTGCAGAGAAAAACAATGGCGCAAGTCCACTGGACCTGCACACCTTGCTCCAAGAGGCTCGCGCAGCAGCACTGTGGAACAACCAACTACGGGCACCTATGGCAAAGCATGGTGACTTTCCGGCACTCATGGACTGCAACTTCTTGACAGGCTTGCTCAACAGGCTTAACATGCCTCAAAGTATCACGTTAGTTTGCCCAGGTCATGCCTGTTGAATGAGGAAGTCTGGCAACTTGGAACGCCAGGTATCATCATCCTCGATCCGTGCTGCAGCCTTTACAGCTGCATTGCCTTAGATTTGCCAAATGCAGTGTGCCGGAGCAAGAACGCTACTAGTAACAAGGGCATCGCTACTAGGAACAAGGACGCTACTAGTAGATCCTGGCCTTACTACTAGGAGCAAGAACGCTACCAGTGTGCCTATAAGTGCCACCTTTGAACTTCGGTCAAAGCACCTGCTCGGTGCTTAACATAGAAGCACCTAGTGGCAACTATAGTGCTATGACCTGTCATAACCTATTTCTGTCCTTCTTTTCTTTTATTTTCTTTTAGACCTTGAGACTTCTGCTTTCGTCCTAGGCCTTCTTTCTTTAGACCTTTCTTTATTTATGTTGTTCTCGCTTTTCTTTTACTTTTCCTTTTCCGCTAGGCCTGTTTTGAGCTAAACATGAAAAAAATGATATTACAGTAAATATGCGATTGCCTTGTTTTGCTGCCAAGTGTCGATCATTTCGATGAGTGTGCAGCAATTCTTCTGCCTGCTCTGCGACTGAGGGGATCCGCACTGACGGTAGTCGCACACCAGCTGTGGCCTGAGAAATGAGGCATTCAGCAATGAGGCAATGAGTTTAGGTCGTCACAGCCGTGCCTGGTCGATTGTGAAGGATAGGACTGATTCCAACTTCTTCGAGAAATCCTGCACTCCCGAACAATCAGTCAATCTGTGGATCGGCATGGCCTCCAACCTACTAGCGATGGCCTCCAACGTCGTTCAATCGGCTGTGGAGACATGGACACCGACTCCGCAGAGCCCTCCTCCACCGACTCCGCAGAGCCGACATCTGGTGGGCCAGCCTTGGGTGGCGTCATGTGGCGTCACGACTCTGGCAACGGTCCTCTGCAGGGGGACTACTGGTCAACAAGAATCGAGTTCTTCTCTAATGAAGATGTGGGTTGTGACGAAGTGAGTTCGAAGGGCCCCATGAGTACTATGACTCAGTGACTTGTGTCTTTGCAACATACACACAAATGGATTTTATGGGATCGGAGGCCACTGCCATCAGATATGTTTGAAATCTCGCAAGAGACTCTTGAAAGCTGAGCCCACTGAGCCTCCCAGCAGCCAGTGGTGCCGGTGACTCCTCATTAACTCCGACGCTGAGCTCAACCTCAATCCAAGCGTTTGGAGAAAGTGAAGATTTTGGGAGACATCTACACAGACCAACAAAAACTCTCCAGGACACTCTCCATTCTAAATAAAGATACAGCCAGACTCTTGCAGACTCCAGTAGTATGGGGCCCATGTTGGACGTTAAGAGCGCTAGACAATTCTGTTCCTTTGGCAAAATGACAATATGACCTTACAGTCCTTTTCTCCTTATCCTTGCAATTCCGTGCACACCTACCATGCATTTGACTCTAGATGAGTCCTCAAGCTTCATGCAGGGAGTGAGGCATATACATAGTGAATAAGCCATGAGAAGCGAATGCCATGGAAAATGGTCCCTTCGAACTTACTGGACTGACTTAAGACTTAGTAGTAGCAAGAAGCTACTAGTAACAAGGGCATTACTAGTAACAAGTGCCTTACTAGTAGTAACAAGAAGCTAGTAGTAACAAGTGCATCGCTAGTAGTAACAAGTGCCTTACTAGTAGTAACAATGTTCGCTACTAGGAACAAGTGCATTGTGTTCAACTTGTGATGTGTTCGTGCCATCCCGTGCCTCGTGTCCGTGCTCGTCGGCCAAGGTCGACATGGGCTCGGACTTCTCAGACCACTTGGTGACGCCACCCGCGGCCGTGACGCCCCTGCAGCGGCACAGAAACAGCTCCGAAGCTGCGAACTAAACTCTCAAACGAGGCTTCCTCTCGTCTTACTAGGAACAAGGATGCCATTAGGAACAAGTGCATCGCCACTAGTAACAAGTGCCTTACTGGTAGTAACAAGAAGCTAGTAGAAACGATATGTAAATAGGAACAAGGACGCTACGAACGGGGCTCCTGGCCTTACTAGGAGCAAGGACGCTACGAACGGAACAAAGGGCATCGCCACTAGGAGCAAGGATGCTATTAGGTTGGAGGCCATCTAGGGGAAGCCTCTCACGACAGGGCAAAAAGGGGAGCTGGTTTGGTGAGAAGGAACAAAACAGCCAGAAGAGAGGAGCCTGAGCTGCAAGGTGTAGGTTGTCTCCTTTTTGAGCTGATCGACAGTGACTACCTGACCAGCGCAAACTCTTTCCAACAGCTCCTGACTTCCTGCTACAAGCAAGAACATAAGCTCTACTCAGACTCCTTTGTTACTATAGTAACACATGGGAAAAGGACACTTTTACTAGCCACGTGCATCTACCGCATCCACTATAAGTACACCGTTTAATTTCTGAGTAATACTGCTACACATACAGCCAACGCCAAATATGACAAGTCGCCCAACGGTTCTCCGAGGTGACCCGCACTGCAAGAGACTGATGGTCAAATCGCAAAGGCTTTGAGGGGCTGCGCCAAGGACCTGTCCAAACCCGGAACAGGTGCCTACTAGGCGCAAACTCGTGGGCCTTTAACGCTCAAGCTCCAAGAGTCTGTTGCGTGGCAAAACGGATTAACAAATGAAGGCAAATGAGGCTCCTCAAGACTCATGGAGGCTCACATTTCCCTGTCCGGCCTTCATGGCGCCTGACCTCGTAAGCCACAAGCCTGTCATCCTGGAGTCTTGTCAAACGATCTAACTAGGCTGTGATATTTATCTGCATCTCTGTCCTCCACCCCTGCAAAAGAAAACGTCAATGCAAAAGCCGTTGCATAGACCAGCTCAGGAGCGGAAGGCTCCTGGCGAGCCAAAGTGAACGAAGTTGCATCATTGAGTCATTGAACTAACCAAAAACTTGCATCAGGTCTTGGACTCAACATGACTCAACTACCTCTTGCTAAACAATCATCATGTTTCCAAGAAGCACTATCTGTTTGTCTTGAGGCACCTTTAGACCTTTAGACCCTTCTTATCTGTTTCCTTCTTCCCATTGATCTACAGGTCTTGGAAAAAGAATGCTTTCTTTACACAAGGACTATGTGACTATGTCGTCCCAAAAGCTCCTGTGCTACCAAAGCGGTACAAATGGGAAGTTCGCTCACTCGGGACCATGCGCCAGCGCCGCTGGCGCTCAAAGCCCGAATCTCGACCACCTGCATACTATAAGACTTCAAGTTCGGCTTTGTTCCTAGTAGCTTCTTGTTTCTAATAGCTTCTTGCTCCTAGTAGTAAGGCACTTGTTACTACTAGCGTGGCACTTGTTACTACTAGTGATGTGCTACAAATGCTGCTGGTTAGATGTCCCCCGACCAGGAAGAAGTGAACCCCATACCTATAGCTTCTGAGAGACGCTAGGCCCGAATTGCAATATCACTTTGAAGCTCAAAGTAAATCGACAAGTTAAAGGAAAAAGAAGGTGGTGAACGGTGTTGTGAGCAAATCTGGCCCAAATCAGATCCGGCTGAAGGCTAGTATCTGGCAACGGAAGACCAATGGTAGCCGTGTGTGTGGATCAGAGCCTTAAACATGTATTCTACTCTTCATTGAGGCATCTTTAGTTTGACTCTGAATATGCATGGGAAGAATGCAGCAACAAGAATGCAAGCACCCTGTCCGACTCTGAGTATCGATACCCACAACAAGCAGCTGTGCATTCGTAGGCATGCTTTGGCAACTCCTAAACTCATCCTCGAATCAACTGTGTCCACGTCCCTTAGCTTTCCAAGCCGCGTAGTTCTTCTCTGGCTCCAAGTCTTTTACAGCATAATGAAAGTGGCCACCTTCGCTCATCGTCACTGTGTCCACCTCCAAGTCTGCAAGCTTTGAGGCGTCCGGTTGTTTTTCAACCGCTTTGCAATGTAAGCGTCCTGTAGGACTCTGCAAGATGGTTTGACAAACCTGGAAAAAAATGATAAAACCCTAGCAAGTGACAGAAATTGCTCTCCTTCAAGCCCAATATCCCCACCCAGCCAAGCTTCATTCCTCGTAGTTTTACTCGGGAGAGGGGACACTGGGACACCGGCGGGACCTACGTTGTTGACTTTGTGGCAGCGGAGATCAAGACCATCTACTAACGTTGTTTCTTTCATCTAACTATTGTGTACCTGTCGTGTGGCGAGAACCCAAAACAGAAAGGATGAAGAGCGAAAAAATGAACACAAGGGAATGGCTCCTTTAAATAAGGCCGAGGCCCTTACCTTGTTCTGTTCATCAACTATATATTTGGAACAAGAAGCTACTAGTAGCAAAGGGCATTATCACTAGGAGCAAGGACGCTATTAGTAGCTCCTGGCCTTACTGCTAGTAACAAGAAGCTACTAGGAACAAGTGCATCGCTTCTAGTAACAAGTGCCTTACTAGTAGTAACAAGGACGCTACTAGTAGCTCCTGGTCTTACTAGCTTCTTATTGTTTCTACTAGCTTTTTGTTGCTACTAGTAAGGCACTTGTTACTACTAGCGTGGCACTTGTTACTGGTTGCTATTGATTGTTCAAAGTTGACTTCAGCAACTGAGACGCCTCGACATTCACATGCTTGGACCAAGAGAGGCCACGCCAAGTTGTCCAGGCAGCAGAGCGCAAAGAGTAACCACAGAGGTGCAACTCCTGAAAGAAGCAACAAGGCCACTCCAGAGTAGAGGGAATGTCTGTGCCTTCCTTTGTAGAAAGACATCAAATTGACTGCAGTGGAGCAAAAAAGCACATATTTGGTGGCTAGGCCTTATTTTGACCTTTTGATCAACTATATACCGTTTGGATCTCTAGTCGATAAAAAATGCTGCGTCAACAGTCCTCAATGGATTTAGTGAGTCCAAGCTTGTCACAAAGGCTTTGAGGAACTCCCGGTCGCAGCTGCACGTGTTCCCAGGACACTACGATCTGATCATGCTGTACCTGGATGAGGAAAAGCATCTGAAACGTGGAACGAGAACCCGCTTCAAGAAGCTACTAGCAACAAGAGCATTGTTATTAGTTATTAGTAACAAGTGCATCGCTATTAGTAGCTCCTTTCAGGTCAATTTCTGTTCAACTCGGGTTCCTCACACAAAAAGATTTGGCACCTCGTCCACTCGTGCCCCAAGAACTGCAGGAGCCACAGGCAAAGTCAAGACCTCCCATTTCTGCTTACGGGGTGAATCAATTCAGCGTAGCCGCGTAGCCAACCAAAGTATGTATGCTAGTCTATGTCATGAATGCAAGCGCAACGCTCCCTCAGAACATGCTAGGAACAAGAAGCTACTAGGAACAAAGGGCATCGCTACTAGGAGCAAGGACGCTACTAGTAGCTGCTGGCCTTACTACTAGGAACCAAAATCTACTAACAAGGGCATTGCTACTAGTAACAAAGGGTATTACTACTAGTAGCATTCTTGCTACTGGGAACGAGAAGCTACTTCTCATGTTGCCCAAACCTCTGCAGATTGCGCTGACCACTCTCCCTGTCCAGCAGCAGAAACTGCTGCAGCCTGCGAGAAACATGCCCATTCTCAGTCATTCCGGTCACTCTTCGCAACACAATAGGCTGAATTCAATAAGTATGTAAAACTCTGCATGAACCTCAAGCTGTGGGAAGAACAGTCTCACTTAGACATCTATTCTGGTTGATTGGAGTCTGAAGGTGGCCGAAGGAAAGAGTAACTGAGCTAATTGAATCTTGTTTCAGCCATGAAACATGTTGGATTATTTCGGCCAATCCCAACAGATTGAAGTCAAGCAAGTCACTCGTATGTGTGACTGTAGCACACGTCACAGCCGATTCCTCTCGTCTGCTTTAGTCATCGCAGTGCTCTTATAGCTCTCTCTCTCTCTCGGTGCTTTGGCCTGACACATATATCTTTGATTTGGCGAAAGCCCGGGCACCACTGCCACAAAGTTGGAGCTCACGCTCCCTGGCGCAGCACTCACAGTCTCAAAATGCACTTGCAGGTCGAAAATTGCCGCTTTTAACCAGTCGAAACAGCGCATGTGTTCAACTCGTATTCGTCGCATGTCGAAATGCATCTCCATCTTCACAGCGCCTTCGCAAATCAAAGCACCCCCATCTGTACCATCACCTTTGTTGCAAATTGTGCCTACTATTGTGCCTGTGTCTGAGGCGAATCCAAAACAAAAACAACTCTGCCTAGAACTGCCTGCGGAATCATTTGATGTTGCTTTGCCGTTCCCTGATAAATGTTCCTGCGACATTGAAGGGAGAAGATCTAGAACCCGTAAATAAATGAGGAAAAACACCTTGGTCACCTGTTGCTTTTGGAAGTCCTTTTGCCAAGTGGCTTGCTCCAGCTTCCCGCCAAGCCTGTGCTGATGAAACCGCCTGGTTGAAGGAGACCCGAAGCGTCCGTGCCTGGTCGTTGAAATTCCAGGTCAGGCAACGAGTAGCGTCCTTGTTCCTATTTACTTATTGTTTCTACTAGCTTCTTGTTACTACTAGTAAGGCACTTGTTACTACTAGCGTGGCACTTGTTCCTAGTAGCTTACTGTAAGGCAACCCTTATTGCGCCATGAATGATGAATGTCACAAATCTTCAAAGAGAAATTCTGAAGCGGTCTTGTTTGTCTCAAAGAATTGTGATGAAACAAGTGCGTTCCAACATATCTCTCTCAAAGCCTGCACCGCTTTGCCGGCTGGGGCGACCTTGCGGTCACGGTCCATGTTCAAGCTTGCGAGCGGGAAAACCCTCCAAAGCCAAGGCGTTGAATCCAAGCTATTTATTAATAAGTCAGCGAGTATTCAGCTTTGTTTTGTTGTGTTTTTGTGTTTCTTGGTTCGGCCGGGAAGATTGAGGAAGGTAAGCTACAAGGCCAAGAAGCGAAGCAAGGAAGGTACGAGAAGCATCTAGAAAGAGGTTAGGAAGCGGCACTACCATTAAAAGGCTGCGGTTCTTCCAGGAAGCTTCCCGTCGGCGTCGCTTCGTATGGTCGACTTATGTCGAAACGTTTCAACAAAGCAAACGAAGCATCCGCCTTGACCATGAACTCATTGATGTTCTCATCATGAACTGCACTGCTCAAGGTGTCATCCAGGACCTGCATGCACGTGATTGCACATGGCACATGCTTGACCAATGGTGAGTTGTCTCTCGGGATTTGAGAAACTCAAAGGATCAAACAAACAGCCCTTTTTTGGAAAGACTAGTAGTAACAGGTGCCTTACTAGTAGTAACAAGTGCATCGCTACTAGTAACAAGTGCATCGCTACCAGGAACAAGAAGCTACTAGTAACAAGTGCCTTACTAGTAGTAACAATGTTTGCTAATAGAAACTCAAAGGATCGAAGCTTGCAACAGCCGTTTTCTAATAGCTTCTTGTTACTACTAGTAAGGCACCTGTTACTACTAGCGTGGCACTTGTTACTACTAGCTTCTTGTTACTACTAGTAAGGCACTTGTTACTACTAGCGTGGCACTTGTTACTACTAAAGCTTGCAACATACTGCGAGGCAAAATCATCCAGCGTGCAACTGCAAATTTCGCGTGGCACCTCACCATCCCAGCCCAGAACCAGCCTGAGGCTGCCAAAGAGAAAAACACCGCTTAGGTTGCCTTTTGATCTTGTCTTACAACATGTTGTCTCTAACATGGCCGCCATGGCCGAGCCGCGTGTCGTGCGTATGCATCACGGCAATGGGCGCTGCAAGGCGTGGCGCCACGCGCCAAGTGCTGAGCCGTGCGCTCCTCCAGGGCACAACAAAACCTATTTGGACAAATTTCTTAAAACACACATTATCACGCACTCATACTGGTTCTTGGTGTCTTTTGCCATCTCTTGAGAGTTCAAACAAGTTCGCATGCTAAAAACACTGGGTTTAGGCCTCTGTCTCACTAAACTTTTACTTAAACAATAGAGATCTGGATCCTTTTGTGCATCTTTAATTAAGAAATCCGATACGCCAAATCACACATTGTATGTACCCTGAAGTAGTAATTGCTGTACCCATGTACGCATGTTGCGCACGCAAATGCACATTTGTTTAAATATCTCTGCACTGATGCCACAATGGCTTTGGTTGTTGCCAATGCGACCAAGGGGCTGCTCGGACCATGGCCCCTTACCTGCTGCTGTGACCGCAGCGACCTGGACGATATACCTAGGCAACCCATATAGTTGAAAGGCCCAAGTGACTTAAAGTATGATCATTAAACATCATTAAACTTAGACTTAGCGCAAAACCAAAAACAAACAATGATTTTGCCCGTCTGCCCCTGTCAATCTGTACCAAGGCGCTGCCTCTCAGGCTGCAAGGCCTTGAGAGAAAAGCGTATCAGGTCCGTGCTGCCCTTCTCTTCGACCAAGTCGACTTTCTCCTACACAAAATGTTCAACCTGTGAGGGTGTCGTATCAGGTCCGTGCCAAGTCTCCACGTCCAAATTAGGAACAAGTGCATCGCTAGTAGTAACAAGTGCCTTACTAGTAGTAACAAGGAAGCTATTGGAAACAAGTGCCTTACTAGCTTCCTTGTTGCTTCCTTGTTGCTTCCTGTTACTACTAGCGATGCACTTATTCCTAGTAGCGAACATGTCGTATCAGGTCCGTGCCAAGTCTCCACGCGTGGCACTTGTTACTACTAGTAGCGTGGCACTTGTTACTAATAGCATCCCATTCAAGTCTCCACGTCCAAATCCAAGTCTCCACGATGATCCAGGCCCCATGAGGTGCATAGCCATAGCGCGAGCCTTGGCGCATTTTTCCAACGGAGAACTTGTAAGAACTTTCCTCCTGACGAAGGAGACACAGAAGCCTAGGTAGTAGTGGTAGTGGGAGTAGTAGTAGTAGTAGGAGTAGCAGTAGCAGTAGTAGTAGTAGTAGCAGCTAGTAGTAGCTAGTAGTAATAGCTAGTAGGTAGTAGGTAGCACTACTACGACTACAACTGCAACTGCAACAACAACAACAACAACTACTACTACTACGACTACTACTGCTACTGCTACTGACACTGCCACTGCCAGTGCCACTACCACTACCACTACGACTACTACTACTACTACAATTACAACAACGACTACTACTAATACTACAATTACAACAACGACTACTACTACTACTACAATTACAATTACAACTACAACAACTACTACTACAATTACAATTACAACTACAACAACTACTACTATTACTACTACAACAATTACTACTAACTACTACTAGTCGGAATGCAAGCTCCGCTCCTGCTTCAAACACTGTTTCTGCCATCGGGCCTTGAAGGCTTTGGCACAGTGACGGGCCCCCAACAAAATCCCAGCGGCAAAAAAGAGTGACGCTCGACATAAAATGAGGGTGTATTTTTCTTTGGAGGCCTGCGTAAAGCGCGGAGCGACGGGGAGAGAAATCGCGGCGCGTCGGTACAATCGGTCGATACGCCTTCAGAGAGCAAGCGCCATACATAAATCAGAAGCCAAATGCGGTAGCTGTGACATTTTCTGAAAACATATGCATTCCTGGAAAAGTACGCTTTGGATCTCCAGGCTGTTGTTGCAACGGTTCCGCAAGAGGACCCCTGCTTTCAAGCGTTGGTGGTGGTGGTTGTGGTAGCGGTGGCGGTGGCGGTGACGGTGGCGGTGGGGGTGCTTATGGTTGTGGTGGTTGTGGTTGTGGTCAGAAATGAAGGCCAAGCAGTTTTTAGAGGATGTACTGCGATCACGAGTGTTCCAAAGGCGCCGAGGCGCTGGGCCCGGCACCTGTCAAGTCATGGAAAGAAGGTGGTTGTTGGGCGTGCTATATTATGAGTTTGTTATCAACTGCACTCAATCATTGTGTTTGTGGTTGCGTACTGTGTGTGTTGTGTATTTGTGGTTGTGTGTTTGTGGTTGCTGTTGAGATCCCAGACTGCCCACTGCCATCTGGCGCTTGCTGTTAAGGTCGAGCGGGGCGGAGTAAGAGTCGAGTGGAGTTGCGGCACCACACTTAAACATCTAACAACCCTCACCTGACAGGTGGGGAAAAAAACCAGATCGAACACCAGTGGATTTGTGCTCCCCTGGAGTGTATTCAATTTGATGATCAGGCCGTGCCCCAGGTAGTTCTAACTGATCCCGTTCGAGTTCGAGTTCGATGCGCGAGATTGCGTGGATCGAGCGAGAGGGGGGTGGACCAGTTCGAGTTCGAGTTCGAGATCGAGTTCGGATCGACACACAATTATCGAGCCGGGGGGGGTGGACCGGTTCGAGTTCGAGTTCGAGTTCGGATCGACAACACAATTATCGAGCCGGGGGGGGTGGACCGGTTCGAGTTCGAGTTCGGGTTCGGATCGGCGACTAAGAGACTTATAAGGGGGGTGGACCAGTTCGAGTTCGAGTTCGGATCCACAACAACAGCAACGAGAACCAACAGCAACGACAACAACCACAACCGCAATCGCCACGACCCACAACACAGAAGAAGAACAGGAACCGACCAAGCTAGCAACAAAGCAATAAAGTATCCGCGCTGCGCAGTCTCATCTTTGCAGCCAACACTTGTTTTATTAGGATCTGGTGTGCTGCTGGGGGGGGCGCTGCGCCCCCCCCC